AATCCCATTTGCATCTTCCCCCAGGGCACACAGAGCCCCAGGACCGGGCACGGTGTCCTTTTGTGCTGTCACCCAAAAAACCACAACTGCCCTGCACACTCAGGTACTTGGCTGTGCAGAAATTGTGGGCAGCATCACCTTCCAGATTATTCAAAATTATTGCCTCCAAAGATACAGGTGCTTTGTTAGGGCCCTGTTTCTAAACAAAACCAATGCAACCAACCACTCACTCATCTGCTGAGATCTGCAACAGTCTAGCAACAAATTACAAATTTATTTTTTTCCCCAAACTTCTAACTACCGAGTACTGAGGGGGAAAAAAAAGAAAAAACCATCTGAACACACACCATGAGATTATCACTCTTGTGCCAGAAGCCATCAGATATGAGATGCAGAGACTATGAAAAACAGGAAACAGAACAGCAGGATTTTTATGGAAAAGCATTCTTTTGATGTATTGCCCATGCCCAGTGATGCTGCACTGGCACAGATGAACAAAGCCCCTGTGATGAGAAGGAATCATATTCTCCCCAGCAAGTAAACAAGCATTTGTTTTAAAACAAACCAGGGAAATATTTGCATGGCAAAATCAAGGGATGAAAGCTCCATCTCAAGTCTCAGAGGCTGAAAGCATCAGATTTATGATTTATGTTTCTGTGATCCAGCTAAGTCTGAGCACCCTGACCTGAGTCAACACTAAAGGTTTGCTTGCTTTGGCATCCTCCAGGGAGTTCAGGGCAAAACAGCAAATGGAAAAGTGTCATTTGACAGCTCAGCAGCACAGAACAACCCCCAGCTCCCAGGGCAGAGCTGCAAGGTTTTCATTTCCACTGCATTTTACCTGGGCAGATATAAAAATGCAAAGGCCTCAACAGCATGGTGGGATTTAGGGGAGCAAGGATTGCTGAGGACTGTGAGAACCACAAAACATGATGAACTTTCACACTCCTACAGCAACAGCCCAGGAATGCACAAATCCCAACATCCTGTTTGTGACAGAGGCCAAGAAAAGATCTTCTTTTGTAAGATATGTTTTGATCTTATTTTGTAAGATCAAAAAAACTGATGCTGTCATCAGGAACTGCCACAAGAAATACAGGGATGATGTAGCTCGTTACTAGAATGAATTAATTTCAAGAAAACCCTGAAATATTGCTGCAAGAGTCTATTTTGAGTGCACAAGGTCAGAAGAAAGTTTAGAATGTAAAACTTCAAGATGTTACTGGCCAAATACACAAAAAACCTATTGCTTTCCAAGGTAGTGTTTAAATACAACACAGCTCGTGGAGAAAATTCTTCCATCTTTATAAAGATCAGCAAATCTAAGAGCAGATTCACTGCAGACAAGAATTCTTCCAATTTTATAATGTATAAAAATCTTACCTTTTCTGATTTACTTTTAAGTCTTCTTTCCTCCATCCTTTTCTTCAGAATTTCCACATCTTCTTTATTACCATTAAGGACAATCACATCTTCCTCTTGAAAGGGAGCACCACACTTCATGAAAGAAAAGAAAGGACAAAATTGCACATTTATTTTGCTCTTTCCTATATACAACACTCTGAACTAATTCCCATTTTTTTTCATTTGTGCATTTTCTGTTCATGGGATCCTTGTTTTACAAGGCACAAATGTAGTTAAAAGTATTCCTAAATAGAATCTACTCAATTTACTGAACCCCACTGCTAAAACCCAAAAGAACTTTCTGATTTTTAGTTATGAGTGCATCTGATTAATACTTTGATGCCATTCTGCTCTAGAATTTGTCTTTCACCTTAGTGAGGTAAGAAACAACAACTGATGGGAGCAAAGGTGTTACTCCTCTACATGTGGAATAGACAGCAAATTTTTCTCTTCAGCTGGTAGACAAGAAAACATGAAGGGGTTTTTGGAGGGTCTTTTGGGTAGGTTTTTTTTTTTTTTTTAGTTTTTATTTTACTGTGGGAACAAAAAGGAGTCATAAAAGCAGAATAATTCATTACCCTTGCCTTGCTGCCTCGCTGGATTGTATCACAGAGACCGTACCCTTATCTGATTTATCAAACACTCCCAAGTTTCCAACTACTTTCATAAATTAATCTGGATAATGGCTGTAATGTGCTCTGTGTACCTCCACATTTGTTTCATGGTTGAAGGCACAGATGTTTTCCTGTGCACATTTGCAATCATTTGATGTACCAGCCCATTGACCATGATGTTTTCTTGTCCAAGATCTCAATTTGCTTTTTTGTTTTGTTTTGTTGTTGTTTTAGGGGGTTGTTTATTTTTGTTTTGGGTTTCTTTTGGTTGGTTTCAGGAGTTTTTCAGGTTATTTTGTAAAATGCAGAAGCTTTCTATTAATCTGCAAGATTAATTTATAATCCTGCCTCTCCCATTACTCTTTCTAAACTAAGGTCTAGAAAGGTTACTTCTGTATTTGCAGTAGGAATTAAACAAATGAAAGGACATATGGGCAGGACTTTGCTCAAGTGCTGAGCACAGCTTCAAAAATGAACCAGGGGTTAGAGAGAGGCACAGGACATCAGGCAGGAAGAGGAAAAGTCACACACAAGAAATGGGGCAGTAGCCCACGTTTTTCCATTTCTACTCAACGACAAAGCCCAGCCTGGTGTGATCTCACACTTGGGAGTGAGAAGGCTCCAAAATGAAGAATTTCAGTCTTCATTCTGGGGCAGGAGCTGGCAACTGACTTGATTCTAAAGAAGCCCCACAAATTCATTTCTAGAAGCCCCACAATTTCTTTTCTAGGGTGGTTCCTAATACAGCATTTTTCAAATATATTTTGTCAGCTGACACTAATTTCATTAAATGCTGTATTTTAAAAGAGCAAGCAAATCCAGGTTCCCATCTGGAAAACAAAGGCAGAATTGTTCAAAACTGAAAAGTATTTACAAGAAACAAGGAAATTAAGACAGTGTTCTTTTCATTCCCCGAAAAAAAATTTTTGCCATGACAATATTGGATTATGTCAGAGACCATACCCTTCCAAACATCTTAATGAGATAAAAAGCAGAAAGAAGTTTCAGTTCTGCAAATTCAGATGTTTCTTCCTTCAGATTAATTAAGGTCATGGGGCAGATGTCTGGTTTGTAATATCACAGGGTCTCCTCTGCTGTTCCTTGTTTATCTTGGGCCTTTAAATACAGATGAAGGTACTTGCTGTAGTTTTTAGCACCTTGAATAGAGGACATTTCTAAATGACACAGCTCTTATCATTCCTAAATATAAAATACAGGATTTTTAAAGTAGTAATGAACTCCTAATTTAAGATAACTTCCAAATTGTAGAGCTTACAGTTTCAGCAGCCTAAGACAAGAGTTGTACATTATTTCTACATTGACACATTTATTTTTATAGCATCTAAAATGTAGTTCTGTGCATGACTACTCCAGTCTTAATGTAATACAAATAAACAACAGGCAAATATGTTTTCATGTCTAAATATTTACACCACTGTTACAGTCTGATGTCTTCAGAGAAACCTAAAGCTCTTTCTCACATTTGAACAGTGAATTCCTGCAGTTCTCCTGAACATCACCATTGCTGGGAAATGCACAATTCCCACCAGGATATGGGACATGGATGGCCACAACCTGAATGTCCCTCTTTAAAAGGGACATTTAGGAGGAGGATTGATCATTCATGGAGCATCTCACTGTTCATCTCCCAGCCAAACAACCTCATGTATTAAAGATTATTTTTGCTTGTAAAACTTGTTTTAAGAGAGAGAATTTTCCAGAGGTTTAGCCATTAAAAGTCCAGGAGTGTAAGATTTGCTGAACATGTTTTTTTTTTTTACATTGTCACCGAACACAGACATGCAATAGGTCAGAGAGTAAAGGACAACTTGGGAGCAGTGGAAATTTCCCACCTAGTGATTCACAAAATGTGAACTTCACGCAGAAGCCACAGCAGCTACTTCAAAACGAGTTCAAGAAAAAGCCTCAGTTTACAGAGTTTCTCCTAAAATCAGTGATAATTTTGTACCTGTCATACCTGCAGCTATGCCTTAACTTACTCTGAGGTTTTCTCTCCCTTTATTTCTGACCAACATGGTATTTTAATCAGGATCTTTCCTCCCAATCCCAGCACGTTTAAGTTTAACTTTCCACTTCTTAAAGAACCTTTAAAAGGCTGTAACAGCAAACACTGGGTGTGTGAAGGACGATTCAAAACAACCTGCTGCACAGCAGGTACACCTTTCTGGCACCAGGGAACACGGAGGGGTTAACACCCCCTTGTGCACTGCTGCCTGTGGTTCATTTCACACAGCCTTTTATAATTTTACAATTCTGGCATCTGCCCTTGTTTGCTTGATTATCTAAAAGTTAGAGTTTTAAGAGCTGGGGTCTTACAGAACTTGTGGTTTCTTTATCTCAGGGTTACAAACATGGGACGTGGTTCTACCACACATCATCATCACACACCTCACTTTACTGCTACATTACATTCTGTTTATAGCTGTGATTGATAATTATGATGTCCTTCTGTTTCCTATCCATTACCAATCTGTTTTTCTAGCCTTTTGCATCAGCTCTTCTTATTTTCCTGGCCCTTTGCTTACAGAAGTGCTCACCCAGCAGTCACACTTAAACCTCTTCCTTATCTCCTTACCCACCAGGGCCAGACCCTATTTTTGCAGAAGTGCCAGCAGTTATATCCCAACCCTTTATTTCTTATCTCCTCGGCTCACTCAGGGCTCCATCCCTACTTTGCAGAGGTGGTTACATTTATAAGATTCACTCACATTTAATTCTTTCACTTACACCTTAATTCTTTCTAACTAAAACTAAAACTAAGCTAAAAGCTGCTTATCCCAAGCGAGGGCTGGGATAAGAAGGTTTCAAGATATTTTATTTATTGTGTTCTTAGCAGCAGCAGCAATTCCCTGCTGGATGGAACTCTCTGCTGCCAGCTGGAAAGTTTCGGCAGGCGAACAGTTAAGGGCAGGGGGAGGAGGAGGAGAGGGAGGAGGAGGAGGAGGAGGAAGAAGAGGAGGAGGAGGCAGGTTGCTCGCAGTGCTCCAGCCCCAGCTCGGGGGTTCTGGGGGGCTTTGGGGGCTCAGCAGCAGCTCGGTGACATTGCCGGGACATGGCAGCATTCCCGGTTAATGGTTAATGTCGCGACAGAAGGACAAGGAGCCCCCCATGCATCCTTATTATGCTGCTGTCTCCCGGCTGCCCCTGGACCAGGTAAGGCTGCATCACTTCCATCGCAGCATGCAGCTCCTTGCTTTTTTTCCTTACGTAAAATGCTCATTTTTACTTAGAAAACACGCAAATCTGCAGTCAGGTTAATATTTTTTTCCCCTTCTCTACATTGTGACCCATGTACAGGAGGATGGAGGTCGTTGCTACTAATTGTATTCTAAAAATCACAGTATTTATGCAACTTTTTTTTTTTTTTTTTTTAGATCTGCACCTTAAGGGTTTAAATAGTTTTCATTGTGTTTGTTTTAAATTACTACAAGGTCAAATACACAAGGGAAAAAAAAAATAACAGGACAAGAGGAAAAATAGCAAAGAACGCTAAAACTTCAGAAATTTGCTGCATATGTATCAGTAAATTCTACAGCAGTGTTTTTAAATAATTATTTAAAATAGCAAGGATGAACGCTAAAACTTCAGAAATTTGCTGTATATGTATCAGTAAATTCTACAGCAGTGTTTTTAAATAATTATTTAAAATAGCAAGGATGAATGCTAAAACTTCAGAAATTTGCTGTATATGTAGTAGTTAGTTCTAACGCAGTGTTTCTAAATAATTATTTAAATAACTGGGTTTGATGGAGAAATGTTTTTACTCAATGCATCGGAAAATCCAGAAGCAGACTCTGTATTCTGACCCCCTTTTAGACAAAAAAACAATGCAATGGGAAAAGCATTTAAAAGAACTGATTGTAACATTTTTTTAAGGATTGAATTAGTCTTCCCTTGTTTATAAAATGTCTACGTAAATACCTTTCAAACAAAAAGAAATCAGCTATGAAAAAGTTGAAATAAGTATTTAATGCTTTTCCAGCATTTTATTAGAAGATGAAGTATTCCCAAGTCATTTGTCTCACTAAATTATGAGGTCATACGAAGCAAACTTGATCTAAACTTTAATATTGGGCAAAAACTTGATCTAAACTTTAATATTCAGAGGAAACAGAACGTTTCGAGTGCAGTGATGCAGTCCTAAATGCAAGGGCAGGAGAAGCAGCAAAAAGCAAAAGGATCGTTACTCCAAAACACAGTTTGTGCTAATGGGGTCTCAATGAGCTGAGCTGACATTTCAGCTTTTTCCAGGCATCATCATAATTCCCCTTTCCTCTAGAGTTTACTTTGTTAATTGAGATGGAGTATCTTAGCCTTACAACAATTTTCTGTTAAGCAATATCCATAAAAGCATCCACAAAAGTGCTTGAAAATCTCTGGTGTTTTGTTTCTTTTATTTTCTTTTTTTTTTCCAAGAATGTCACACACTACTGGCAGGAGTTTTAAAAATTCATACAATTTCATTCTCCAGATTTAGAAAACCTGTGCATAACGTAAGAAATGCTGAGTTTTAGAGACATTCTGCTAACAGAAAATACCTGTCATGGCACTCTTACATAACAAGACTCAAGGGCAAGACAGTCCCAGACAGGGTCATTATGGACAGTGGACATTCCCAACAGGATCTCTTGCTCCTCAAGGGCAGCAGGAAATTTGGGATAATAATCTTTGCCAGCAGACAGGGCTGAGAGAATCCTGCTAAACAACAAATTTCCTATCCAGTGGCACTGACAGCTCTAAGCTTCCATTCCATAAAATCCTCCTGAGGATGAAATATGGCAAATTCTGTTCTTGTAGTTCCCCATAAATATGTTAACACTGGAGTGGAATTGCTGCCTCCTACCTGATTATGGGGTGTTTGTGTACTTTTATGCTGCCATAAAAATACAGTTTCTACAAGTCATACAGTCCAGTAGGAAAAAATCCATGGCAAGCACTTAACAACCTGAAACAGCCCCAGAAGCTATTACTTGAAGGGTAATAAAAATTCAGGTGTATGAAACAAGCAGCTTACAGCTTGGCTCCCTAGAACTACACTTTGCAACCTGTCCAAAGTGTATTTAAGGAAAAAAAAACTGCCAAATACCCTCATTCTGGAGAGGTTCAGAGAATATTCTGAGTTGGAAGGGACCCACAAGGATCATTGAGTTCAACCCCCATGTAAATTATCTGTACAGGGACTGAACCCACAATCTTGGTGTTAAGATGTTTTGTATTTAATCAGGTATAAAATCCTAAATATTTTTGCAGCTGGCTGCTGTTTTTAGTGTAATTCTTGTATTCAGAATGAACCTACCCTGTGACATCCCAGAGATCTCGTGATGTTCACTAATTCAGAGGAATCTCAATGTTCCTCCTGCCAATTATTCCCTCAGAATAAAGAGTTTGTCCAGGGTTTGTTAGAGCCCTAGTTGCTAAGAATTTTAAACCTTCTGTACTATCAGACACTAAGCCCCAAGAGAACACTCCATTTAACCTGAAGCCATAAAGAAAGCTTCCAAAATTAAATAATAGAACTAAGATTCTAAGTGTGTAGTTTGAATACAAGTGTGGGATATCACATAGTAGAAAACTTCAATTTAAAGTTTTAGAATATAGTTATATATATAAAGCAAAATAGAAGTTTTAGAGCAGAAGCTAGTCCTTCTTCATAAATTTAAGTAGTATTGTGTAATTAGGGTAATTGCTGTTTCCCCAATTCCAGCCCCTGGCTATGTACATCATGGTCCTTGCAGAAACCCCTCTAGGCTCTGGCACGGGATGGATTTAATTTCATTTTTCATGTAGAAATCCTGCTTTTCACCTTGCAGTGGCAGCCCTGCTCTCCTGCTTTCTGCACAGCATCCAAAGGTTGACACGGATTTGATTTCTGCAGCTCTTTGCTCGGATGGATGGAGTGCTCCCATCAAGGTTGTTTACCCAGTGAACGCATCCCTGAGGAGCTGCAAGGCAAAAATCTTCTCCTGGGAGCTGATTTCCTCCTGCTTTTCTTTGAGCTGCCTGAAGAACATCCCAGGAAAATGGACCAGCCCTGCACCTAACACCCAGCTCTGCTTTCTGCAATGCTCAGTGGGAAGGAGGCACCGTTCCAGCAGAAATCCAGCACACAGCAGTAAGGAGCAAAAGAGAAATACATTCTTTCCCAACAGCCTAATAAGATCTTAAAAATGTGGGAATATGGAGGATCTCTTCCCTTGGTTCAATGTGTGCTCTTAATGCTTTTTGACTTTTATGTCTCTTTGCTGCTTTAACTGCAATGCCCTCTTTATTTTAAGCTTTTAAGGGAGATACTGATTTTTTTTAATTAAAAAAAAATATTTTTCACTTTACTTTTTCACTCAAGCCTTCTAACCACAGCAGCATTCTTCTAATGAGACTATATAAAAGTATATTTTTCTCTGTTCCTGTGTAAAGCTAAATACTTCATGATTTTGACAGCTGCAAAATGTAAACTATTTCAAGGTGAAATGCAAATTTTGTTCTAAAAAATCATTGAATGAAAGAAGAGAAAATGAATTACCTTTAAATAAAATAAAAATGTTTTTAAAATTAACTGTTAAGCTTAATGGCAGTTGATGGACCTTCTCCTTGGTATTTTTCTCTAGGAATTTTGATACCAAGTGCTTCAAGGATAAAGACTTCATGTAATTGCTGTGGGATTCAGGACTGCTGCACTCTCATTCTTCTGACTGTTCAACAAGGCAAACAATGGAAAAACTCCTGTGCTAAAATACTGCTGTAAATTGGTTATCTCAGAATGCCAGTAGTGGCAGTTGTGTCCTTATCTCAGGGTATGCACAAATACCAAAAGTAAGAAATGAGTGTTGTCCCCTTGTTCATCTTTCCAAAGCTCAGATACAAAGATGGCAGAGGGGAAAAAAAATAAAAATCTCTCAGTCAGAAACATTAGCTGACTTTATAAGGACAAAACCCAGTGTATTTTGTGGATTACGTTTTAGCCTCTTCCTTCTGTTTATTTAATAAATTTTCTGTTGATTTAATTTACTGAATTCTGATCCTCTGGCAGAACTTCAAGTTTCCCAGGCCTTGAGGAAATCTCAGCAGCAGCTGCTCCTGAGCACTCAGAGCTCACTTCTTCCCTGGGCTCACCTCCGAGCACAGGAGTCTCCCACCTGAGAGGCTGAGCCCCCTTTGCTCAAGCAGTGAAGAATTCAAAGCCATTTTGGGGCCTTTGGTATAATTTTGAGATCATTTTGTCCTGGAAAGACAAAATTCCTGCCTCGTGGCTCTGCATTCCCAGGGCTGAGTGCACTCAGTTCCTCCTGGTAGTAATCCCAACATTTATAACTGCAGCACTAACATGGCATCTATTAAAAAAAATAAACAGGTTCTTTCCCTCTGTCTGACTTTTTATTTCAGATGATCTGAATGTTTAACTGGACTATGATAAGAAGACAGGATCTGGAAGTGAAAGATGAACCCACTTCATGCAAAGAAATCGAGATTTTTAGTGTGTGTTGCTGTCTGTATGTTCATCTACACCTTCATTTACCTAAAGGTTCCGCTTTATGACGAGTCAAATGACCAAAAGTTCCGTGTCAGAAGAGCAGAGTGTGGTTTTTACCCAGATGAACTTTGCTCAGCTCTTTTTGTGGGGAAACCTGCAGCCTTTCAAATTGGAAACTCTTGTCAGAAGTCCTACCAGCCCAAAGCACTCAGCTGCACTCAGACTTCCTGCAGCTGCTCCACAGTCCTGAAGACTCTGCATTTTATCACCAGACCACTGTCAGAGGAAGAGGGAAATTTCTCCTTGGCGTACATTATTACAATTCACAAGGAGCTGGAAATGTTTGTGAGGCTGCTAAGAGCTATTTATATGCCTCAGAATATTTACTGCATCCACATTGATGAAAAGTCACCCAGAGATTATAAAACTGCTGTACAGAACATCGTTAACTGCTTCGAAAATATTTTTATTTCCTCAAAAACAGAACATGTTGTTTATGCAGGGTTTTCAAGATTACAAGCTGATATTAATTGCATGAGAGACCTCGTTAACTCCAAAGTTCAGTGGAATTATGTTATTAATCTGTGTGGTCAAGATTACCCCTTGAAAACAAATAAAGAAATCATACAATACATAAAAAGTAAGTGGAATGGTAAAAATATCACTCCTGGGATAGTGCAGCCCCTGCATGTGAAGCACAGGACAGAGGTCAGCTACAGGGAGTATGTGCACTCTGGAGTGCCCTACGTGTACCCAGCAAAGGTCAGGAAAGCTCAGCCCCCACATAACCTGACCATCTATTTTGGCAGTGCCTATTACATCCTCACCAAGGACTTTGTGGAGTTCACACTGAGCGATGCCCGAGCCAAAGCTCTGCTGGAGTGGTCCAGGGACACCTACAGCCCTGATGAGCACTACTGGGTCACCCTCAATCGTTTACCTGGTAAGAGTTTGGTATTTCTGCACAAGTAACCCCAGCAGGGCAGGGCCTCAGGCAGGGAGAGGCTGTGAGCTCGGAGCTGAACCCCTCTGAATTGCAGAAATAAAGGCATTTCTTCAGCTTTGCTGCTGCCCCTTTGAAAAGCCTCATCTGGAGGCTGAGAAATAAAGCTTGATTGCAGGAAATGGCTACTTCAGTGCAGACCAGGAGCTGGAAAAATTCTGGTTAAAAAGGTTTTTTTGCTGCATGAAAGGTTTTGCTCTCAAGAAATTTAAAAAAAGCTATAATACCGAGAATGATATCTGTTCTTATGACATAAGCATCTAAATAAATACTTAATGTGACTGCAGTTAAGAAGTGTCCAGCAGTGAAAATTTTCGCTGCAATAAGTAGAAAAGAATCTTATCAGAGCCTTTTGTTTTTAAAGATGCTCCAGGGGCTACACCCAATGCAGGCTGGCAAGGAGACCTACGAGCCATTAAATGGAAAGATCAAGAAGGCCTCTCACACAAAGGATGCAAAGGTAACGTGAATTTTGATCATGAACTTAAATTTGATTCACTGGTGAGCATTAATTGGTGATTACATATTATTTAAACCATCTATTAAATGTGCCTCAGTGGTCATATATGATTTATTTTGGATATATTAAATAAAACAAGACACCCTATAAATTACTGCACTATATCCAGTTAAAAAGATTTTGAGATGTATGTTATATTAATGTATTAGTTACATATTTTATATATTTTGAGATGAGAACAGTATCCATACACTGACAAACCTTCTTTCAGCCCCTAATTACCAATGCACTAATTTATCTGATCACTTCAGTGGAGGGGCTTTACCTGACAAGGATGTTTGTCAGGAACTTCCATCAGCATTGGTTTAAGTCCCTTCAATTTGAACAACAATAAAAAAAAGAATAGGAGAGCATGCAGAAATAATTAAAATCCCTAAGTGTGCAAGCTGAGCCCGGGTGTGATTGAGCAGGGAATCCCAGCAGGAGCTCAGAACATCTGATGCCCAACTACAAGATTTTATTAAGCAGAGCAACACTGCAGGGAAGAGCAGCTGGAGGTAACAAACATCTATTTATGCAAAACATAAACCTTGTCCTTATAATATTGTGGCATCATCCTCCAGCTCGATTTCTATGCAGAAACCCGAAGGTGAAAAACTCATTTTTAAAAAACACTTCAGGTTGCTGCTACACCTGTCTGCTTTATCTCTGCAGGTCATTACGTCAGAGATATCTGCATTTATGGCCTGGGGGATCTGCAGTGGATCATTGAGTCCCCTCACCTGTTTGCCAACAAGTTTGAGGCTGGCAGGGACCCGCTGGCACTGGAGTGCCTGGAGCGGCGGCTGCGGCTCAAGGTGCTGCGCCAGGCTCAGGTGCCCATCGAGCAGCACTGGCGCCTGCAGGAGCACAGCCACTTCAACATGCAGCTGGATGGCTGAGATCTGCCCCCTGCCCTGCAAATCTGCAGCAGCTGGCTGAAAAAAAGGACATTTACAGCCACGGCTTCGCTCTGTGCGCGGAGGGTAAAGCACGATCCTGCACTCCCTAAATAAACAGGTTTTATTTATTCCGGTAGCAACGGGTTCATTCCCAAAGAATGGCTGAAATCAAGGGGGGAATTCATAATGCAGTAAGTGACTTATTTAGCTGGATAGTCAATATTCCTCATGTTCACAGCCAAAGCATGAACACATTAAATGGAAGCAGTGACTGAACAAAGATTAAATACGGAGAAATAACAAATTAAAGTCATGGCCACTGAATGTCTCATGAAATGTTTTGAATAATGAAGTTGATGCTAAAATTTCAGAGCTTGTACATAAGTGACAACCAGTTTGTGACACAGCCCGTGCCCCTGGAGGGGTGTGGGGTTGTTTTTGTTTCCCATGGCCAGCCACATCCCTAATTTCATTTTGTAGCATGGCAACATCACTGCTGCCCTTCCCAGGCTTTGCTCCTAATAACAGAAGGATCCTGCAACACATGTTTATGTCCAAGTCTCTGTTCTGAGTCTCTGCAAGGAGAGGGAAAATTTGAGGCCAGGGATTACAGTAAAACTGAGCAAAAAGCCATTTTTCAAACATTTTCCTATCCCAGTGTACCTGGCTGAGAGAAGCAAAGAGCCTGCAGCAAGTGCAGTAACACCTGGACAACTCACTCGATTAAAAACTGCAAATTAGAAATACAAATTAAATAAAAATTCATTTTAAAAGGAGCAATTTCAATGCAATCTTTAATATGCACCCAAAACACCCCTGAGTTCTTACAAGAAAACTGGATACAGATTGAGCCTATTCACAAAAAAATCAAATGACCCAACAACAGGAGATGAAAGTTTCTTGTTACAAACTCATTCCCAGGTTGCTGGAACTTTATTCCTCATTTTCCCACAAAAGTTTATTGGAAGCATCATTTCTTGCAAATGAACTTTAACCTAAAGAAAGGCCATCTGGTCCCTATTTATTTACAAACTCAACCCAAAGGCCTGTGCTCGGTTGCCTGGATAATCCAGGACTTATCCTGTGGCTAAATATTGCTGGAGATGCTTTTTTTTTTTTTTTTAATGCAAGGAAATAAGGCTAAAAAAGAAAAGGAAAATAAAAGCCAGGCATATGTTCACGCTGAGCTTGTTGAGAGTCTGTCTCCAAACCATTACTAAAGCTAATGGGTCTCTGGCATGTGTTAATCATAGCAATATTCATAATTAATTTCTCTCCAGTCCACTGTAGGGCACTGCCAGGATTTATCCACTCCACGATGTCTTTTAAAACAGGAATGGAAGGTTCCTTATTGCCATCATTGCAGTCAATCCAGTCTGCAGCTTTCACCCCTGGCACCATCACAGACAGCAACTGTACATCATTTGCAAATTGAATTAAAATGAAAAATTCAATAGCCAGGCACTGTGTATCATGGGCTCCTTTTGCAGAAATTGAACCAGGCAAAACACCTGCACAAAAAGGCCTCTGAAAATACAATTTTGGTACGACTTGATCCATGTCAACCCAAGAATTGCAGCATATCTTTGCAGCATGACCTTCTTTGCTTAAAGGATTTTGTGTTTGAAACAAAATTTTAGGAAAATCATTATTAAACCATTCTCAAGTAATAAGAAATAGTATTCAACTCATTATTGTGGTTACCACGATCACATCACCCCCTTGAAACACACATGAAAAGCCTTCAGGAATTCTGTGTTATTATGTTAAGAGTTGATCAATCACAACTTTCAGACCTCAGCAAATATTTGTTAATTTTTTAATTCTCTAAGAGCAGAAAGTGCCAAAGTGACCCTGGTTCCAGGAACCACTGCTGCACACCCAGCTCTGGATCTGACAGCTACAGGCATAAATTCTGTTTCAGAAAGCTTCATATCTAAATTAAACCTGGGGTTAAGTGTTTGAAATGGCACAGAGCTGAATAGTTGGGGCACTATTTCAAGTCTGTGTTTAGTTGACTCTGAAAACAAGTCCAAAATAAACTTTGGAGTGATCCAAGAAAGTACATTTTAAATGTAATCTTGTCCTTAACTTTCAAAGTGACCCCCAGAAGGACTTTCAGCACCAATCCCATAACCTCTATCCTGTCCCCACACCATTTCTAGCATATTTTATATCCATAGGAACTTCTTAGAGAGTCAGCTTCCAAATTAAAGCATAATTTCTGTCAAATAGCAGACACCAAAAACTGCCCATGCAAGAATCTGCAAGCCAGTTGGAACAAAAATTCCAAAATATTTGGGCACACCAATATCCACAGACCCACAGAGATCACCACAGACTTGCTATCTCCAACATCCTGGCAGATGCACAAAGAGGGAGCAGAGAGAGTCTTGCTTGTTCCTTTAATGAATTAAACACCCTGCTCCAAATGTAAGTTTTAAACTGACAGATTCCATCAAATAATTCTTCCTGAGGAACAGGAGGCAGCAGAAATCCCAACCTGCAGAGCTGCTGCAACAGATTCCACATCTGGAAGCAAAGTTATTTCTCTTCTTGCTGACTGAAATGTGACTAAGTCACATTTTAGCATGTGACAGTGTTGAGAGTTTAAATTTTTCCTTCTTACTGATCAAAAGCTCAAAAACACAGCTCAAACCAAATCCACTTCTGTGTAAAAATATATTACAAGATGTATTTGCACTCCTAAGTTCTGTTTCAGACAAAAGCTCTTTTCCAACTATTTTAAGTCTAAGTAGAAGCTACAAAATTCGTCTCCAGCACTTCATCAGCCAAGTCTGCTCTCCAGCTTAAACCACAACTAAAAAGCTCTCACTGCTCTTTCAACAAATCTTTGAAAGCCAAGAAGTTTTACATTTTGGCAAGACAGTCCAGAGCATTACCCTGCAGGCAGTGAGAGACAATCTCTCTTTCTCTCAACACTGCTCCAGTGTGACTGTTCTGCTGGCTTAAAATTCTCTTTAAGGTGAACCTTTAAAATGCTACTTAAGATGTGAAGAACAGCTTATTTTCAAGGTAAAGAATGGCCTCACACATGAATTACAGCTGACCCCACCCATGACAGCACACACTGCGTGGGATGGCACAGGCCAAGCACAGGAGGTGGCAAAGCCAGGACAAAGAAAATGCTGTGGCTCATGTGGGTCTCACAGACAGATTTTGCTTCAAAATCACTGTAATTCCTAAAATGCAATAATTAGCACCAGGAGAAACACGTATGAGGCAGCCCACAACATTCAAACATTCTGCACTTCAATTTTTTTGTATTAACATCATCAGAAGAGTATTCTATTCACTAATAAGATTCCAATCTGAGCATATACAATGCACAATACTTCATTTTCCTTCTTCATTAGCTCCTTTTCCTGCATGCCCCATTGCTGCAGAAATGCAGATGTGCTGCTAATGAAACAAACTCTGATATACCACAAAGCACAGCAACCACTTCCCTCTGCTCCTTTCAGAAGAGTTCTCCCCTTGATCCTGAAGAACAGCATCAGAATACACCCAAAAATCTGCCAAATTCTTTGACCCTACTCAGTGTGTTCTCTCAGCTGCAAAATCCAGTCATGAGAGGATGAGAGACTAAATATTATATCCATTTAATTATTTCTAGAAGAATCCTTCTGAATATTGTGAAAAATTTCCAGCTGCATGCTAAATACTCATTACTGAAAAAAACAGCCAGGGAAAAATATGTGAGATTCACTTGGTTTTTATAAAATTATCAGACTGGCCAAACAATGGACAAAACATCTCATTCCTGCATTTTACGCTCTGGTTACACCCATCCATCAACAAAAATTTAAATGCAAACAAAAAAACCTCATTAAAAATAAATTAATATCTGCCAGGAGGAAACAAGGCCATTAGGAAAGAACAAAATGAGCACTGAAAGCAGCAATAGGAGATTAAACCTTACAATATTCTACGATTTACGAAGAAAAATGTGTTTCCTCCCCAGGTCTTGTTTAATATAAATATACTCCATGTTTTATACAATATCAGGGTGTTCACAGAAATTAGATAACCGCCCAAGTGAGGCAACCCTCACCACAAATCTTGCTGATAATGAAAGTAGTGATAGGAAAAAAGGTATTTGATCATTTTATCATTGTCCTTAGCTACAAAAAATGTACAATGAGATCAAGCTATGTGAAATTAGGTCAGTATTTTCTACAATTAATTTATAGAACTGCTGAGAATTCTATAAAGTTGGCCCCATCCAAAAATAAAAAAAAAAAATCAACACCCAATGTCCTTCAAAAATACAAAATTTAACCTGAAAATACAACCAGTTTAACCACAGAACAGATAGTGATAAAACACAAGCCATGTGCATTCAGGAAGAAAAAATTACTAATCACCAAAACCCCCAAAAGCAAACCAATCACCCTTTTAAAAACTGAAATTAGTACCAAATATTGGGAGAAAAGTAGTTACTGCAAAATCAAACTCTGAGAACAAAAGTACTCATTTTTATAATTATTTAGAAACAGTTTTTAATTAAAAAGGCAGTGAAGAAATACTTGAGGCCATCACAGAACAGAACTTTCCCAAGTTCCATTTCAATTTGCATACTGAGATTAAAAACTCCCTTTTTAGAGAAGTGCATGCAATTGTATAAATGCACACATGGCCCAACTGCTTCTACAGCTGCCCAAACTCACCTTGTGACAAACTTCTGCTTTAATTTCCTTGAGAGCACGCTCAGAGAACACACAGCCACAGTTTCTCAGGAAGCAAAACCTTCAAAGAAAACACAACACATAATAATTTTAAGAGAACTAAGACAGATCTGTGCAGTGCTGGCAGGTCACAGCACACCTTCTTTACAAGTTTTTGCACCTAATCAAACTATCAGCATAGTTAAGTGGGTAATTAATTTATTATTAATTTGCACAATGTAAAAAATGAGTGAAAAATTATTGGCTACATTCAACACAATAGGCATTTTGGTTTATTTATCTTGAGGATCTCCTGGCTAATCCCTCTCTGGAGGAAGAAATTCTTTGCAACCATTAAGCTGTGAACTCCTCCTCTTCTCATCCCACAGGTGACAAAGAAGTTGCTGCTCTGCCCAAACCCAGCAGTGAGGAAATCCCCTGCCCCAGAGCAATAAAATACAGATACAGTGCAGGGCTGGAACTGAGAATCCATCTCCAGTCTGATCCTAACACAGGGAGAGACAGAACGTGAGGAAAGGCTGGAAGAGCTGGGATTGTTCACCTGGCCAGGAGAAGCTTTGGGTGAGCTCAGGGTGGCCTTGCAGGGCCTGAAGGGGCTGCAGGAAAGATGGAGAGAGAGTTTGGACAGGGATGGAGGGGCAGGACACAGGGAATGGCCTCAAACTGCCAGAGGGCAGGGCTGGATACTGGGGAGGAATTCCTGGCTGTGAGGGAGGGACACCCTGGTTGCCCCTGGATCCCTGGCAGTGCCCAAGGCCAGGCTGGATGGGGCTTGGAGCCCCCTGGGACAGTGGAAGGTGTCCCTGCCCATGGATGGGGTGGCACTGGAGGAGTTCTAAGGTCCCTCCCAACCCAAATCAATCCATGATTCCAACTGCTTGATGTGACTCCAAGAGAGGTCACACCCCATCTCCTGTGCTTTAGCCCTCAGTCAGCCTTTAGGCACTTTTCCCTCTGCCAACATTGCTCCTACCCCTTCATTACACATCTCAATTTATTCAGGAAAAGGTTCAATTTTATCTTTCTTCCTGAATATACCATGAAAGGACACCCAGAAGCCTCTTGAACTCTGAAAGTTCAAGCTTGAAAGCTAAAAGCCAGCCAGATATTCCCCCTCAAGCTGTGGGTTAGCACATGATTTCCATTTCCCAGGCAGGATTCCCAGTCCATCCCAGTTTGCAGGCTGAGCCCTGACCTGTGCCTGCCGTTCATCTCCAGCCCCACCACGGGGCAGATGAAGCGTGCAGCCTGCAGGTCATCGTACTTGTCACCCTTGATGCTCTCCTTGTCCCCACACCAGGCTGGGTTATCCACCAGCTGCAGCTCTGTCACGTTCTGGGAAAGAAAAACACAAATTTGGATCAGGAACAGCGTGGCCAGCAGGAGCAGGGAGGTCACTGTTCCCCTGTGCTGGGCACTGGGAAGGCACACATCAAGTGCTGTGCCCAGTTCTGGATCCCCAAATTTAGGAAGGACATGGAGGGGCTGGAGCGAGTCCAGAGGAGGCAACGAGGTTGTGAGGGGGTGGGAACACAAACCCTGTGAGGATGTGGGATCACAAACCCTGTGAGGATCTGGGAACACAAACCCTGTGAGGATCTGGGAACACAAACCCTGTGAGGATGTGGGGCTGGGGACACAACCCTGTGCAGATATGGGGCTGGGGACACAAACCCTGTGAGGATCTGGGGCTGGGGACACAAACCCTGTGAGGATGTGGGAACACAAACCCTGTGAGGATGTGGGGCTGGGGACACAAATCCTGTGAGGATCTGGGGACACAAACCCTGTGAGGATGTGGGGCTGGGAACACAAACCCTGTGTGGATATGGGGCTGGGGACACAAACCCTGTGAGGATCTGGGGACACAAACCCTGTGAGGATCTGGGGACACAAACCCTGTGAGGATGTGGGGCTGGGGACACAAACCCTGTGAGGATCTGGGAACACAAACCCTGTGAGGATGTGGGGCTGGGGACACAAAGCCTGAGGAACAACTGAGAGAGCTGGGGGTGTTCAGCTGGAGAAAAGGAGACTCAGGGGTGGCCTCATCACTCCACAGCTCCTGAAAGGTGGCTGTGCTCAGGAGGGGCTGGGCTCTTTCTCCAGGAACTGACAGAACCAGAGCACACAGCCTCAAGCTGCACCAAGGGAAATACAGGATGGATATCAAGGGAAATTGAGGTAGGATATCAGGAAGAAGTTTTTTACAGAAAGGTGATAAAGTTCTGCAGTGGTGGAGCCACCACCCCTGATGTGCTGACCAGCCTGGGTGTGGCACTGTGGTCTTTCAGGTCTCCTCAACTTGGTCACGCTGTGAAACCTCCAGCTTTTCCCCCCATGATTTCTGAGCCATGATAACAATCCTTAATATTTTTGCTATTGTGTTTTGTTGTTTAAACACTTTAATCCACAGTGGGAGCACAAGCAAATGGAGATTTTACAGCCTGACTTCTGAATCTAACATTTTGTTTTAACTTCTCACATTAAACACAACCTGTTTACCTTAATGCTCTTGATATGGGATGCAGATTCCATGGGGGTTTTATCAGGGGATTTGTCCAACAAATATTCAATAACAGCATCTTTGTTGTACAACCTGGAACATAAAAACTCCACTGGTTATATTGGGCTGCCATAATGGTTTGTATCTATAATTTTATATTTATAATTTCAAATGATTTTGTATTTCTATGAAATATTTAATTTATATTTAATTAATTTCAATATATATCACAATATAAAATATTACATAATTAATATTTAATATAATACATTACGTTTGATTTTAATATATTTTAAATAATTTTATATAATTTTTGTATTTATAATTGTATATCCATAATTTAAATTTATTATATATTTAATTATTTTGAAAATATCAATATAATATAATATATGTTGTAATTACTATTTTAAATGTAATTTTAAAATATTGTAATAAATTTTATATTACTTAATTTTCTATTTGTAATTTTATATTTAGAATTTTAATCGATTTCATATTTTTAGATATAATTACTTCTAATGAGTGTTAATTAATTTTATATTATTTAGTTTTGTATTTATAATTCTATATATATTTTTAATTGATTTCATATTTTTATATTTAATTAATCTTAATAAATTTAAATTAATTTTATATTATTTAATTTTGTATTTATAATTTATATTTATAATTTGTTTTTTTAACTCCCGAGGTGTGCAGGGAAAGATTCCCACCTGCCCAGCTCACAGGCCACGATGGGCCGACGCAGCTTCTCCTGGCTCAGGGCACAGTAGAACCACCTGGCCACCAACTCAGCAACTTTGTCAACCTGGAGGGGAAAACCAAAATATTAATTATTTAAAAATATTTCTGATGAGTTCTGCACCATTCCCTGGGCAGCTCCAATTCCTGACCCCCTTTCCATGGGGAAATTCCTGCTGGTTCCACCCTGAGCTCCCCTGGCCCAGCCTGAGCTGTTCCCTCTCCTCCTGTCCCTGTTCCCTGGGATGATCCCAAATCCCCCCGGCTGTCCCCTCCTGGCAGGGAATTCCAGAGAGGGAAAAGATCCCTGGGGATCCTCCTTTGCTCCAGGCTGAGCCCCCTCAGCCCCCTCAGGGATTCTCCATTCCCTTCCCAGCTCCCTCAGGAATTCTCCAGCCCCTTCCCAGCTCCCTCAGGGATTCTCCAGCCCATTCCCATCTCCCTCAGGAATTCTCCATTCCCTTCCCAGCTCCCTCAGGAATTCCCCAGCCCCTTCCCAGCCCCCTCAGGGATTCTCCATCCCCTTCCCAGCCCCTCCAGGTCTCTCTGCCGGACACAGCATCCATCCCCCCCAGCAGTGCCGGCACAGGGGACAATCGCCAGTGGCCTCCTGTCCCCCGGGCTCTGTCCAGCCGCTGTCACCGCCAGCCCAGCCCTGTTCCCATCCCGGCCCCGTTCCAGTTCTCAGCCCGCGGGCGGCCCGCGGCGCTGCCCCGACGCCAAGAACGCCATGCCCCGCTCGCAGCACGGCGGGCCGGGCCGGGCCTGCCCCGCCCCGCAGCCATGGCGGAGCGCCGCCCGGACCTTCTCGACTTTGCGGGGCCCCTTGACCAGCTCATGCCGCTTGGGGATGGTGCCGCCATCGCACCCCATGGCGCTTCCGGGTTCTCCTTCCTGCGCACTTCCGGACACGCCGAGCCGCTTCCGGCTCACTCCAATGACGCCGTTGCTTAGCAACGCTCACTTAGCGGCGATCACTGTTGCTTAGCAACGGGCGGCTGGGGGCGTGGCCATGGCGGCGGGGCGGGGCGGGGTGGGCGAGCCCATCGCGGCGGGACGGGGGAGCGCGGAACGCACCAACTCAGCGCGGGGGGGGCTGTTCCCAGCGCCCTTTTCCCGAGGGTTTATCCCTCATTTCCATGAGGAAATCCCCCGGGACGCCCATTTTGGGAGGATTTACCCCAAACCAGGCGCTCCCCAGGCGGTTGGGGCTGGCGGGGGCGCCGGGGCGGTGCAGGAGGAGTTTAATCCTCGGCAATTCCCGGCGGGATGCGAGCGCTGCCCGCAGTGCCATGTCGCGATAATCGTGCCCCATGTCGCGATAATCGTGCCCCATGTCGGCGATAAATCCCCCCGGGAACATGGCCAGAGGATGCTGAGGGGGAGCGGCCCCCGTGGCTGCTCCTGTCCGTTCTGAGGGGGACACCCAGCAAAGGCCATTGCGCTGCAAGCCGTAAAATAAATCAATTAGCAGAACTGCAATTAGCGCGGGTGCAGCTAATTGTCACACCCGGAAATGTTCGCGTGCAGAGAATTGGGGGATAAAGTGAAAAAGCTCCGCGGGCGGGGCTCAGGCTGGGATGGAGCCCTGGGATTCCAGCAGGGAACAACAACATCGCCTTTCCAGCTCTGGGAAGGGCTTGTCCAAAGCCTCTGCACTGAAATAATTTCCTTTTCCCCAGCTGGAGAAATGCTTTGAGAGCTCCAGTCTGTGACAGAGGATGATGTGCTGCCTGTGGATTTATCAGGAGTCAGGACTTCTCTCAAAGTTTTCCTCTGTGCTCAGGTACCAGCCTGGTACTTTTCCTATTGACCGGATTTTGTGCCGTGTTGCATTTGTGAAAACCAAAAATTAGCTTTGCAGCTGTTTAAAACAACCCAAAACAACCCCTGTAATTACAAATGTTGAATAAAGTCCTCAGAAAACAATCAATGTTGTGATATCATAAGTTACAGAACATTTTGCTGCTACATTTAAAGAGAGACTTTACAGGAATAGAAAACAAAAAGGAAATTACATTTATCAGACATACATAGAGAACAAAAAATAAGAAACCAGTCCTAAAATCAACAACTTTTGCTCCCATACACAGCAAACATTCCCACCCAGCCACTGTGACGATGACATCTCCAGGCAGGATGTGGACAGTGGAGAAGAAAGTGGAGATTTAATTCTTCTGTATCAGCTGCTCTGGGGATCTTCCCCTGCCACCAGTGCACCCAGGGAATTCCTGCTGGGAATTCTGAGTGGGGAGATCTTTACCTGCACTGGTGAAGATCTGGGAATCTTCACCTGCACAGGAAATTCTGGGAATATTCACCTGCACAGGAAATTCTGGGAATTCTGAATGTGGGGATCTTCTCCTGCCACCAGTACACCCAGGGAATGAATTCCTGGTGGCGGTTCTGGGTGTGGGAATCTTCATCTACACGGGCACTCAGGGAATTTCTGGTGGGAATTCTGAGTGGGGGGATCTTCATCTACACCAGCACTCAGGGAATTCCTGCTGGGAATTCTGAGTGGGGGATCTTCACCTGCACCAGCACCCATGGAATTCCTGCTGGGAATTCTGAGAGGGGGATCTTCACCTGCACTAGCACTCAGGGAATTCCTGCTGGGAATTCTGAGTGGGGGGATCTTCTCCTGCCACCAGTACACCCAGGGAATTCCTGGTGGCAGTTCTGGGTGTGGGAAAATTCATTTGCACCAGCACCCAGGGAATTCCTGCTGGGAATTCTGAGTGGGGGGATCTTCATCTACACCAGCACTCAGGGAATTCCTGGTGAGAATTCTGAATGTGGGGATCTTCATATACATGGGCACCCAGGGAATTCCTGGTGGGAGTTCTGGGTGTGGGAATCTTGATCTACATGGGCACCCATGGAATTCCTGCTGGGAATTCTGAATGGGGGGATCTTCACCTGCACCAGCACCCAGGGAATTCCCGGTGGGATCTCTGTGCATGGGGGATCTTCACCTGCACTGGCACCCATGGAATTCCTGCTGGGGATGCTGACTGTGGGGATCTTCACCCGCACCAGCACCCAGGGAATTCCTGGTGGGAATTTTGAGTGGGGGGATCTTCACCCGCACCAGCACCCAGGGAATTCCCAGTGGGATCTCTGTGCTAGGCAGACCTTCACCCACACCAGCACCCGGGGAATTCCCAGTGGGATCTCTGGGCATGGGGGATCTTCACCCACACCAGCACCCAGGGAATTCCTGGTGAGAATTTTGAGTGGGAATCTTCACCCACACCAGCACCCAGGGAATTTCTGGTGAGAATTCTGAGTGGAGGATCTTCACCCGCACCAGCACCCGGGGAATTCCCGGTGGGATCTCTGTGCTAGGCGGATCTTCACCCGCACCAGCACCCGGGGAATTCCCGGTGGGATCTTCACCCGCACCAGCACCCGGGGAATTCCCGGTGGGATCTCCGGGCGTGCCCGAGGAGCAGCAGCAGCAGTGGCAGGTCCCTCAGTCCATGGTGGCCCGGAACTGCTGGGTGTACTGGGCCAGCTCCTCGGCCTGCTCCCGCAGCTCCCGGCTGGCCTCGGCGTCGGGGAATTGCAGCGCCGCGCGTTTGGTGGCCAGCGCCAGGTTCTTCAGGAGGCTGCAGAAGCGGCTGCTGCTCTGCAGGATGTCACTCCGAGCCTCCCTGTCCTGGCTCTCCTGGCACAGGGAATCCACCAGCCTCTGCCCCACCATGATGATGAGCTTGCTGTGGGAGATGAAGATTTCGGGGGGCTGCTGGCTGCTGAGGCTGGCGGTGAACACGCCGATGGCCTTGTGCAGGGCAGCGAAGCACAGCCTGCAGTGCTCTGGCAGGGGGAATTTCCGGGCAGGCTCCTGCCTGCTGGGATTTTCAGTCTTTTTTGCACGTGGCAAAACCTGGAGAAAGGGTTAAAATAAAAATAGATTCAGCCTGGTGTCACTCGCTGGTTGTTTCTTTGGTTGCTCTACCCTGAATTTTTGTGGTCTCCAAATCGCCACGCCCTGGAGCCTTTACAGTAATTTCTCTTTCCAGAAAGTGTTGGAAATTCTCCTGATTGCTTCTTTCCCCCTAAATACAGTTTTAATATTGGATAGCACACAAAGTGCTTCAGCTGAACATCAATCCTTTACACAGTTTGGCCTCGAAGCTTTCAAATAACACAAACATTGATCTTTAATGGACGTAATCAGGGTTATGAATGATTAAAATGCACAATACAAGAGTCAATTTTGTGCCAGTGCACGACAAGATACTTTGAAATACTGAAACAGCCTTATCTCAAATGATGCTGAAAGGCAATAAAATAAATTGTATGACTTTAAACTGGAGTTGTTTGATTGAGGGAAATAAGTGTTCATCACAGGTTTTCAGCAATAATTCTGGGAAAATGATCTCTGAGAAGCAAACAGGTCTCTATGTATAGAGATGTGTGTCTGAATGCAAATTACCCTGAGTTTTAGCAAGCACAGAAATCAGGGACTAAAAGCCCTCTTAAATATTTTCCAAGTCAGAAATACCTTTGGGTTTAACTCTGTACTCTTGTTTGCTACTTCTTTACCTGAAATGACTTTCTGTGCCTGTTACAAATTAAAATTAAAGCAAAGTTGAAACGACTACATAAAGTATTTAAATATAAATGTGGTTTTCTTTTATTTCATGGGGAAACAGCTACTTGTTCTGTATTCTTCATATTACGAATAGAAATGGGGGATTTATTAGAAGGAGCTGTAGGTTTTTTCCTCCCAAAAATGTAGTACCTGATCCTACAAGATCTGAGACTGAAACCAACATCAACAAAACATTTCAATGTGACATTCCCTAAATTTTATGGACAAGCATTTCTTTGGAAAACTAAGGGAAATATTCTTAGTAGATATTTTAGTGATTCTAAAGAGATTCTTAAAATCATCAAGAATTATTCCAACAAATAAATGTGATAATTAACAGAGTTTAATTTCTGTGCAAACACAATTTCAATGACACTTCAAGACAGGAAGGAACATCTCTTGTCATGCCAAACACAATGTAGTGGCAGGAAGAGAACTGTGAGGGAAAAGAGAAGTAAGGAATTGCCAGCTCCCAAAGAAATCCTGCTTCCCAAATGAATTTAAGCTGACAAGAATGATAAAAATGTTTTATTTTCTCTGTTGATTTAAATTACTGCTCATTGTATGTGTGCCATCCAGCACTGTCACAAAATCCTGGATTCGTGTAAAGTCTGGAAAGTGGGATGTAGTGCAAAGTGCGTGTGGCACTGCAAAGGTAAAACAGCCGAACATCTGCAAAGGGTGAGGGGTACAGAGAATAAACCCCGGTGTCACTGACCTGTAACTGGACATAATCACAATCCTCAGTGCAATTTTCTTCTGCTTTCTCCACAGGGACCCGGCTTTGGCTGGATTTCTCAGGCACATTTCTCTGCATTTCTCTGGATTTCTCAATTTCTACTCTTCTCGGCACTGGGATTTGTTTTGCCAATTTGCATTCCAGGTTCACTTTTGGTTGCTTCTTTTCTTGCTCCTTCTCGTTCTTCCTGAAGAGCAGCTTCCCGTTGGCGATGATGATGGACACAAACCTCTTGATGTCATCTGGAATTGTCCTGGCCACCATAACGAAGCGATCCAGGTCGTCAGGGTTGTTCTGGGGCTTCCTGAGCACCAAAGCCTCCAGGGACCACCTGCAGCTGTTGAGAGCTTCCCTGGTTTCTGTCAATATTTTGTAGGAGTTCATGAGGATTTCCAGCTGTTTTTTAATTCTGGCCTGCAGGTTGTTATCCGTGAGGTTGGAGGCGTTTCCCTTCAGGGCTTGAGCAAAGGCCAGAAACTCTCCCAGTGACACCTTTATGTGGTCCACTGCTCTGTGGATCTCCTCCAGGCTTTTCTCCAGGTGCTCCTGCAGTCTCCACTTGCTGCTCACAAAGATCATTAAACTGGCGACGGAGCTGGACACGCCGTGCTGCAGCCGGGTCAGGGCCTCAATGGCTGCTTCCAGCTCCAGTTTGATTTCTTGGACAGGCTCTGGTGATGGTGACAGCGCTGCAGACGACTCAGCAGAAGAGCTGGAGGATGAGGAGAGAGTGCTGCTCCTGCTGTCCACACTGGAGACACACAAACTCTCATTTTCTGACTTGGCATCCATAGAGAGCTGTGGAGAAGCACCGTGTGCTTGGTCGCTGGAGCCATCACTGTTCTTTTCCATCTTGGAGTGCCCAGCACTGGGCAAACCTTTGGGGATATCATAAACATTCTCCTCAGAGATCTGATTTTCAGCCTTGGCAGCCAGGAGCCTCGGGGGCAGCTCGGAGCTGCCGTTCAGTGGCGGGAGGAGCACGTCCCGTGAGGGTGGAATGTCGTAAAGGGGAATTTCTGGAAGCGGTAATTTCCGCTGGGGCGGTGGAATGTCGTACAGCTGTGGATTTCCAGCCTTGGCTTCGCTGGTTGAGGCTGGAGCCTTGTACCTGGCTGGGGGAATGTCATACAGCACCTGCTTCTCCACAGGCTGGCCAGCAGGCTTGGGTTTGAATCCGGAATTTTCAGGGGATACTGGAATATCGTAAATCCATTCGGACTTCCGAGGGTTTGGCAAAGTGTTGTAATGGCCCCAGCATTTCTTCTGAGATTTATTTTCTGAGTCGTTGCCTTCTCTTTTAGGAGGGACATCATATAACTGCAACAGAGCACAGAGGGTTCACAAATCACATTTTTAAATGAGAGTGAGGGACAGAACTGAATTCTCAGAGCACACAAATGTGTGCAACTCCACTGATATCGATGGAATGGCACCACGGAAAGGCTGCCTGTGTTTTTTATTTTCTAACATGCACAAGCTGCATGTATAAAAGGTAAAATATTTGGAGCAAAGGTGATTAGATCCTACAGCAGTGAAATCTGCAGACACTTGATTTTTTTCCCACTCACACGTACACCCTCACATGCAATAAATCACCAACAGACTCTGCTCAAGCATCTTCAATGAATTTAAATTTTGCTTGATACAGATGTGTGTGTGCAGCTGGAATCTAAGCTGGGAAAGGGGCATTCGGGACCGTTTGTTGTCTAAGAAACAATGGGGAAGCGATGAGAAACCTGTCCCTGCTCCAAGCCAAGGCATCCCAGGAGTGACAGATTATTCTGTGCCCACCAAGCCTTACTTACATTGCCTGCTGGTGAGTCCTGGCTGCCAGGCCCTCCTTTTTCTGGCTTGGATGGGATGTTGTAAAGCTGCTTCTTCTCTGTCTGGAAGCTCTCAGAGGATCTGCCCAGCACAGAGCCCTTCCGTGTGCTGGGGGGAGTGGCACCACTCTGCTCAAAGGGAAAAACAAATTATTTCTTTTGATCCTTTTTAGAACCCACTGGGGCCTTGAGTGGCATCAAAAGCTTTAGGCCATATGTGAGCAGGTTTGGGTCTGAGCAGGGATCACCCAGGAAATCTGTGGATAATAATGGGTTGGGCTGAAGGCTGCAGTGCCAGGGAGCAGCAGGGGATGGGGAGGTCCCTGGGGTGCTCCAGTGCCACCCACACCTTGGTGTGAGAGGTGACAGGACGGGGCTGGGGGCTGCTGCCTGTCCCATCCTCAGAGGAAATGTGGCATTCACAGACCCCGGGGCAGTGGGACAGCACCACGGACAGGATTGTGCAACAGGACACGTCACAGTGATGTGACCAGACCCAGGGTGTGTTTTTCCCAGGAGCAGGGTGGTGGGGGTGACATTTAATTTCTTGCTGGACATGCGCTTGTGACTCTTCTCTGAACATCCCCAAGTCACCCCCACCAAATGACACCACCACATTTCCTCACGGATTCCGAGGCAGAGAGGGTGACAGGTCAATTCTACTGTCACCCTGCTTGCTTTTTGTAAAATTGGGAAGAAAATCATCTGTTTTTAGCTCAAATCGTCAGTTCTCAAGAGTTTCTTAGAAATTTAGAGCAATTTGTCTTAAATCTGGTCCATTTCTAATAAACACTTCTATTTTTTCTGTCAGTAAGGCATTTCCCCATGGATTCTGAGGCAGAGAGGTTGTACTGATACAGAGAATTCAGTAAGACATCAGTAGTGTCACCCTCTCTGCCCCTCATTTTCCACAGAAGAAAAGGTGGAAGTGTTTATTAGAAGCACACCAGATTTAAGACACTTGCTCTAAATTCCTCATAAACTCTGGAGAACTGACGATTTGAGCTAAAAACAGATGATTTTCTTCCCAATTTTACAAAAAGCAAGCGGGGTGACAGTAGAACCGAGCTGCAGATCAGCTCAGAGGTGCTCCAGGGTGGCAGCTGCAGGGAGGGAGGGGCAGCACTCACCTGTGGGATCAGGGACCCGCCGTGCTGCGAGGAGGGGACATCGTACACCTCACCCCTGATGTTCGGGGCTGAGGCCCGGCAGGCTCTGGGGAGGGTGAACAGGTGCTTGGAGGGGAGAAATAATAAAAATAAAAATAAAAATAAAAATAAAAATAAAAATTAAAAAAATATAATAATAATAATAATAATAATAATAATAATAATAATAATAATAATAATAATAATAATAATAATAACAACAACAACTGCATCAGCAGGAAGCTTTGAAAAGTCATTTAGCTGAAAAATCCACTGTTGGAGTAATCGCTCTTAAGTGATAAAAACCTTCAGCTCTTCACTGAGAGACAGGAACTGACCTTATGAGCAACAGCATGTTTATTCACACATAATTCTTCTTTTCTGGCATTTCTGGTACATTTTAGATAAGATCTGAACTGGCACAAAGACAATCTGCCTTACTAACCACAGGACAGAAAAGATTTGGAGAAAATCCAGCTGCAGTTATCACTTAAACCTTTAAAGTGCCCAAAAGCAGAACCACTTAAAAAAGGAAGTGGGGAAATTTCAACTTCTCCAAGCCCACAGCCATTGGGTCAAGCCAATTTAATGTCAGAGCAGCAGAAAAGTGCAGCTGAGCATTATTCTGTAGTTCTGAAAGACTGGCTTATTTGGAAGGATTAAACCTTGATGTCTTCTCCAGCTCCATAAACAGGGAAGTCCAATATGGGAGTTCTATCTTTGCAGTCAGGTTCTCCTGTTTGATTAAAACATGATTTGAGCAGCCATAACCAGATCTGTGGGACAATTAATGTCACAAAATATGAATGCTGGGTTAGGACTTTTCTTTTTTAGAATCAACCACCAAAATTGGAATTTTCTTCATCCAGCCTGCCTTTAGCCTGGCTGCCCTCAGCTAATTTATAAATGGGCCATTGCAAACCACTGACCTCCAGAAACACTGCTGGGGTGAGATATTACAGTAATTTTTAAACTGGTTTTAAACTGGAGGGAGTGATTTCCATCGTGCAAGTCCTGCAGCAGCTAAACGTAGGGGAAATATGGTAGAGGAAGAAGAGTGCAGCTTCACTCTGCCTGGTTCAGCTCTCATCTGGAAACAGGGAGTGAGGAGTGAAGAAAATTCTCCTTAGTGCTGTGATAGAGAATCACAGAATCACAAAATGGTTTGGGTTGGGAGGGATCTAAAAGACCATCTCTTCCACCCCCTGCAAAGGGCAGGGACACCTTCCATAAAACCCCCTCCAGTGTGGCCTGGAACTCCTGCAGGGATGGGGAATCCTGGTGCCTGAATAGGAGCATCTTCCTTGCAAACAGAGGCACAACTTCCCCCAGAGAAAGGGTAAAAGATAAAAGCCATCCTCAGCCCAGGTCTGCTTCCAGATGGACAAATCTGAGAGCCCAGCAGAAAGGAAACTCTCTGGATATCACATCTTGGTAGGTTTGGAAGTCCTATCCGTGGCAGTACCACCAGAAGGTGCCCTGGGTGTGAGGCAGGAGCAAGGAGGTTCTCTGTGGGGGGAAAACAGCCAGGCTGTGAGGGATTTATTGTTTCACTGCTTTCAGTCAGCTCCCTCAAGGACTCGCAGTGGCTTTTCCCAGCTGCTCAGAGGACAGCTGAGTATGGCAGGAGCTTTGCCAGCTGTGCCACAGGATCTCTGTGGGATGGGCTGGATGGTTCTGTGCTCCCTGAGCTCCCCTGCCTTGAGGACAGCTTGTGACCACCAGGGTGCAGCTGGTGTGGGGACAGCTGGGACACTGTGCCACAGGCAGCCCCACTCTCAACTTCTGGGTAATCATCAGAGGCTGGGACATTTTCATTCTTCATTCTTTTTCATTCTTAGACTAGGCACAGCTTAGGTGGATAAATTCATGAAATGAGACAGGGAGAGCCAAGAAGCTCTTCTGCCAGACCATTCATCCACATGATGAATAGATGACATTTTCCACCTGATTTGCTGGCACAACATGGAAAATAGATGCCAATCTCTGATTCAGTTTGCAAATGGCTCCCTTAGGGTCAGGAATGTGGACAAATCCATGACAGCAAGTGCAGAAGAGTCTCTTGTAGCTGCACTCGGTTTGAGTTTGAGTTATGGTTGTTCACTGCAGCTGCAGAGCTGAAAATGGGGTTTTGGTCACCAGGGATGCCCCGAGTTTGTTGTTTTCCAGCACCCACCTGCCACCCAGCAGGAAGCAGCAAGGAGGTTTCCATGACAGTCCTTCCACACAGCAGGAGGAAAGGAGGCTGAATGAGCCCCATAAATCAAACTATCATTAAATCAGCCTAAAACACTATATAGCTGAATTTTTTTCCTTTTTAAATTAGAATTTCAAATGTGATTTCCATACACAGAATAAAGAGCCACCCAGGGCTGGAGAGTTCACGGAACTGAACAAAACCTCGCACTTGAACTGCATCCCCACCTGCTTTATTTCCCTTTCATTATGAAACATTCCCCACCCATTTTTTCCCTGAAGAAAGCACAAGGTTTTGATGTTAAAAACCAGTGAGATGTACTCAAATTGCATGTTCCATGTATGTTTGAATGTCAAACACGAGGAATTGGGAGAAAGAAGAGCCAGGCCAAGGAGCTGTAATGAAACCCTGGAAAACCAGTTTGTTCTTCTCTATAATTGGGGGAACTGGTGGCAGCTCTCCCCCTGTACACCTTGGTCAACGTCTCAGCAGCAGCAAAAACAGGCTGGAAAAGAAACTGGTTGGGGATACACAGCAAAACTTTGTGTCCTTCTGCATGTCTAGCAGGGGCTGCTGCTTGGTGCAGGCCTAGTGACAGCACAAGAGAGAGGCAGCAGCATGCTGAGCTTGCTGAGCTGCTGGAGACAGTAAAAACCATTCCAAACCCAGCAATCACACACCAAAGGGTGATTTTTTAAAAATTATGAATCATGTTCCTGTGCAGATGGATGCAAAGACTTCCATTTTTCTACATGTGCTCCAGCTCTGCATGGCTGCTGGAGAAAGTTCTATGTATTTTTAACTTTGTAAATAATTTATAGATTCTCCCAAACAAATGGTATAGTCTTTACTTCCTGCGCTGTTTTACAGCTGTTTTAAACTGTCAGAAAGGCGAGGGAATACAGAATATAGAGAATATAGAGTACACAATACAGAGACTCTCATCTGTAGCCCGGAACAGCATTTCTCACACTATGCTATAAATCGATGTGACTTTCCTAAACACCATCATTCTTCTGCTGCAAAGCCCACTGAAAAAATCTCAGGCTTCCTCATTTCCCCACTCCCAGCCATTATTTTAACAAGAACATCTGGTTTTTTCAGCGCTCACCTGGTGCGTGGAGCGCTTGGTCCTCTCGCTGAGCAGCTGCGCCGCCAGGGCTGGCACCTGGTACACGGCCTGGGCAGGGAGCGCCTGGGGCTGGACCCAGCCCTCCATCCTCTCGTAGGTGTTGGACAGCGCGGTGCCCTTGGGCACCGAGGGCACCGAGGGCACGGAGGGCACCTGGTAGATGCCGTGTGTGGCTGGCGGCTCGGCGGAGGGCGGCAGGAGCTGCAGGCGGTTGGCGGGGGCCAGGCCGTGGTGGCCGTGCAGGGAGCACCGCCACCAGCCCTCGCTGCCCGGCACGTGCTGCTCCAGCACCGTCACGATGTCCCCTCGGCGGAACGCCAGCTCGTCCGAGCACTCGGCCTTGTTGTCGTAGAGCGCCTTGGCCAGGCTGTGCTGGGGACACAACGGAGCACACCCGCGTTGTCACCTTGTCACATTGTCACGTTGTCACACTGTCACACTGTCACACTGTCACCTTGTCACACTGTCATATTGTCACACTGTCAGGTTGTCACACTGTCATATTGTCACACTGTCACACTGTCACGTTGTCACACTGTCACTGTCATATTTTCACACTGTCAGGTTGTCACACTGTCATATTGTCACACTATCACACTGTCACACTGTCACGCTGTCACACTGTAACACTGTCACGTTGTCACACTGTCATGTTGTCACACTGTCACACTGTCACGTTGTCACACTGTCATATTGTTGCACTGTCACACTGTCAGGTTGTCACCTTGTCACATTGTCACAGTGTCACATTGTCACACTGTCACACTGTCACATTGTCACACTGTCACAGTGTCACATTGTCACACTGTCATATTGTCACACTGTCACATTGTTGCACTGTCACAGTGTCACATTGTCACACTGTCAGGTTGTCACACTATCACACTGTTACACTGTCACACTGTCACACTGTAATGTTGTCACACTGTCACATTGTTGCACTGTCACAGTGTCACACTGTCCCACTGTCACACTGTCACAGTGTCACACTGTCACATTGTCAGGTTGTCACCTTGTCACATTGTCACACTGTCATGTTCTCACACTGTCACACAGTCACATGGTCACAGTGTCACATTGTCACATTGTCACACTGTCACACTGTCAGGTTGTCACCTTGTCACACTATCACACTGTTACATTGTCACACTATCACACTGTCACATTGTCACGCTGTCACATTGTCACGCTGTCACACTGTAACAGTGTCACACTGTCACACAGTCACATTGTCACACGGTCACACTGTCACACGGTCACACTATCACACTGTTGCATTGTCACACTATCACACTGTCACGCTGTCACGCTGTCACACTGTCACACTGTCCCACTGTCACAGCCACGCCAGGGCTCTTGGCCCCCCGCTTGCTGTTCCCCCCTGCTGGGCTCCGCTTCCCACCTGGGGGACGGTCGGACCCACCCGCCCCTGTTCACACTGCTCAGCCTCTCCGGAGCGCTGGTGCCACAGTCAAAGGTGGCATTTTATTGCAGGAAGGTGGAAAAATCATAAAGAAAGTTGTCATAAAATCAGGCCTGCTAAACCTGGCCTTTGTTCCTTCTAAGGCAAGCTGGCACTCTGCAAGTTCCCACCTGAAAGCAATCCTGGTGTGAGCAGTTTGTTAACACAACAATCTACTCCTGGTAAAAAATCAACCAGCACCTGCATAAACTGGTTTTACACTGTTAAATAGAAAAATGGAAACTGTCCCTCACAAACAACTTTTCCTGCACGTCCACAGCGGGGCTGGAGTGACCAATCAATACAGGATAACAATTTGTTACTGAGCAATAAAGTGATTAACAAGAAAGCTGCTGACCAAATGGAGTCCCACACGAGGTCTGTAAAACTGTGTAAAAAGGAGTTATGTGAATAAAAAATGGGCTTTTTCCACCACGAAGAAAATGGACTCTGTGTGATTTATTCCCATACTTTGTATCTGCTACGGTCAGTGCAATAAAGAAATAGATAATAATAAGATTACTGTGATATATTTCTTCATCGCCTTTTCCCGCTCGAGGCCTTTGAAGAGCACTGCTAATCTTCATTATTTAGATTTATTATATTAGACTTACATGTATTGGACTTGTAAGCTAAAACACAAGAAATTCCACATCAAAATGAGGAAAAACCTCTTTCCATGAGGGTGGCAGAGCCTTGGAACAGCTGCCAGGGAGGGTGTGGATCTCCCTCTCTGCAGACACCCCAAACCCACCTGGATGCATTCCTGTCACCTGCTCCAGGTGACCCTGCCTTGGCAGCAGGGTTGGACTCGGTCATCTCCAGAGATCCTTTGCAACCCTAATGATTCTGTGATCCCTGTGTGAAAAATAGCTGTTTTCCCATTGTCATTCTGTGAATTCTTCATCTCATACTTATGCATTACAAGATCATGGAATCATGGAATGCTTTGGGTGGGAAGGGACCTTAAATATCATCTCATCCATGGGCAGGGACACCTCCCCCTGTCCCAGGCTGCTCCAAGCCCTGTCCAGCCTGGCCTTGGACACTTCCAGGGACCCAGGGGCAGCCAGAGCCAGCAGGTTGTTTTAGTCACCCAAGGCATTTTTGCAAAGGGTAGAGAAAGCTGCAGATGCCATTTTGGAGGTGTTTTTAAGCACAAGACAGATTTTGCTTTCAGCTTTAAAACAGGACTGCTCCCCAGCCAAGCACGACACTGGCTATGCCTCAGCATGAATTTCTTATCAGAAAGTGCAAGTAATGTCCAGAGAGATAGCACCCAAATAGGAAACATGATGCCTTGTATTTCTGTCCGGAGCATTTGCTGCGAGGCAGCAGCTGGGCTGAAGCTGCAGCACAAGAACTCGAATTTGTCAGCTCAGCTGGCGACGAGGGCCCGCTGTTGGCTGCAGGTGTTCCATGAACAATGGCTTTTTGTGGGACAGGGGCAGCTGTGCAGCCCCCTTGGCCTCTTGGTCCAGCCTGGCTTTTGCCTCAGACATGGGAGTCCACTTTTGACTGGGACAATGCCAAATGTTGGAGTCAGGCCCCCAGGAATCCCCACCCTGGGCTCTACACTTAGGGAAAAAACAAAAAAAAAAAGGAGAACAGCCAACTTTTCCTGTGATTCATCAGCACTGCTGGGTCCTTGGGCTGAGTGCTGCACAGACACACTTCTGAAGGACAGACCCTCTTCTTCAGCCCTGAGGAGGGTGGGCAGAGGAAAACTGTCCCCTTTTCCAACGTGAAAACCTTATCCAGGCACACGCAGGAATACACGCAGGAAATGGGGAAGGGCCAGGAAGGCTGGGCTCAGGATCTGAGCCTGGCTGGGGCACACACAGCAAGGCTGCCCTTCCTTCTTGCACCCACACAGCTCAGAGGAACCTTTGGTTCACACTGTGGTTTTAAAAGGCATCTAAATATTGACATTTCCCTTTTCCTGTGGAAACAGCACACTCAAGATGCTGCTGAGCCTAATTTTTTTAACCAGAGCCACAAACCTTTCCATCAGAGGGGTCCCTGCTCGAGGCACAGCACACATTCCTTGGGTTTGGCCAGTGAAGATGTGCAAATATCCCAGGGCCAGCAGCCCCAGCCAGAGGCCAGGCTGAGGCAGGGCCCAGTGGCTCAGATTTTGCATTTCTGGGGTGTATGGGCTCACATCTGTAATCATCACAAACCCAGCAACCTCTAGAATCATCCCAAATCAAGCCAAGTAGGAGATTAATTAATGGAGATCTGTTCATGGATCATCTCCCATCCCACCCAGAGAGCTGGAAAGGAAAAATGAAGACTTTGACCAGAGAAGTGATGGAGACAAGCCCTAAACTCCAGCCTGTAGAACATGGCTGAACTGACAGATTGTCAGACCTTGCACAAGCAGGGTCAGTGGAGCTCTTAAAAAGAAAAGATTAAAAAGGGGGAAAAACAAACAAAGAAACAAACAAACAAAAATTCAAACCCGAAAGGTTTTCCAGCTAAGGCAGGCTTAATTAAATTCCAAGTTTCAGGACAAACCCTCAATACTGTGGAGTTGGAGAGCACATCTTTGGCATCCCCTGTCGGTATTTTGGTATTTATTTCAGCAAAGTGCAGAGCACTTCAGCACCACAACAGGGGCTGCAGGAGGGGAGTGCTGGCTGCCCCTCTGTCTGCAGGGGTTATCTGCAGGGCAGGCTGTGGCTGTGTGTGCCAGGCACATTCTTCTCTCTCTCAGGATTTTTTCATAGAGGAGCACAGAGAGAAGAAAGAGAAAACAATTTCTATTTCTGCTCCTTGTTTTCCCACGTGGAATGTGTGTGGAGAATTGCTTACCTGGGGTGATTGCTGGGTTGGATTCTGTGAGGATTGTTTGAGCCTGGTGGCCAATCCAACCCACCTGGGGCTGGGCTCTCAGAGAGGGGCACGAGTTGGGAGTTAGAAAAAGTAGGTTTGTAGTTTCAGTATCTCCTCTAAATAGTATATTAATGTATTATAGTATAGTTATAATAAAGAAACCATTCATCCTTCTGAACTGCAGTCAGCCACCATCATTTCTTTGCAATAGCTGTGTGCCAGAGCCCAGCCCTGCCTGCCCCCCCAGCTCCCCGGAGGTGTGTGAGGCATGGTTGGGGCAGCCCCTTCCTCTCCTGGAGCTCAGCATCCCTGCCCTGCCCTGCAGTGGCTCCAAACAGGCTCTGCATTCCAGCATCCCCACCAGCAGCCTTGTAAAACCTCTCCTCAGACAAAGAACATCCTGAGAGCCCCACAAAAAGCACCTCGAGAGGCAGTGCTGGGGCTCTGCTCTCACTGAGTGGGTTTAAACAAGGGCACAGACCTGGAAAAGAGGAGAAAGGTGTCCCCCTGCAGCTCCTCCCGAGGCACTGGGACCCCCAGAGCCCACGGCCAAGGGCAGGTGGGTCACACACTGGAGGGATTGACAGTGCAGGTCTCTGGAACAGCTTCACCCCAAAAGTTCTCATCACCTTTATTGGAGCGTGGCTCAGATGTGGAGAGAGTAATTCCCCTCCCAAACTGGACTTCTCACATCTTTGTTGTTTGCAGATCCTAATCCAGCCCTGGTCCCTCTACAAAGCCTTGGCAGCCCTTTGGGAGTCATAGGAATGAAAGCTACTACCTCATGTTTATTAATGGAGTAATTGTAATTAGGGGCAGTAAAGCTGATCAGTGCCCAGTTCTATAATGTAAAATTTTATACCCTCAGAGTGACATCTGTGCTCTGTGTACACAATAGATATTTATGCTAAGGAAGAAACATCCCACTGTTACTAAAAATCTCCTGATGCCTCTCCTATCTCAAGTCTCAGCTTCAGTATCTAGGATCATGCAACAGAAAAAATTATCATTATAAAATAGATGCAAACATTGCTAGAAAAATCCAAGTGCACACAGTGGTGCACAGCTCATG